AACAAAGGCAGGTTAAAGAAATACCAGAGATGCTGCCCTTTTCTATTCCATCTAAGAGTGACAAAAACATACCGACAAGAAGTACGGTTAGGACAACTGACCAGAGTAGGAAAGATGGACGTGCAATTTTTTTCAGCAGACATGCATTTTTTTAAGTCGATGTTCCTTTAAGCTACTGTATATAAGTGAACAGAAAAACAGGAATAGAAAACAATACCTCAGTACAACCAGCTGAGTTATAATTGCTGCTGGAACCACAATGAGCCCATTTAATAGTTGGGTTTTAATTATGGCAGGTAAGATCACCCTTCTGGCTCACCACTCTCAATATCCCTCCATTTGTTCACCTGTCTCCACCAGATCAAACAAAAGCTTCTTGTCTTCCCCTTCAGTTCCCTTCATCATTTAACTCTGCCTCACTACCAGACCTACTGTTCTGTCATGACACCAACTCCGCCTCTGCTCTGCAGGTGACATGAGCCATTATCATAGAATATCAGGGTTGGAAGGGACCTCAGGAGGTCATCTAGTCCAACCCCCTGCTCAAAGCAGGACCAATCCCCAATTTTTGCCCCAGATCTCTAAATGGCCCCCTCAAGGACTCATGCATAGGTCCACTTGTTCCTTCAGCTTTGTCACACTTTATCCTATGCTCCCTAACCATATTTCTGGGGAAAACGCTGTCAAAACCCATAAAAATACCTCCCTTCCTTCCTCAAATTGCTCCTTAAGACTTATCTCTGCCAGGGTGCCTACAGAACACTACCACACTAGTGGCTAGGCAGATAGCAAGTTGAGAATACTAGTTTTTTATGCAAAGTTGCTTCATATTTTATCCTACCACCACCCGCCCCCACACGCTTTTGTCTGTTCCCTATTGCTTTTGATATTCTAAGAATATGATCTGTCTGGAGAAGGGTTGCCAACTTTCTAATTGTACAAAACCAAACACCTTAGCCCCGACCCTTCCCTGAGGCCACACCCCATGTCCCGCCTCTTCCCCAAGGTCCTGCCCCCCCCCGCTCACTACATTCCCCCTCTCTTGGTGGCCTGCTGTCCCCCATCCTCACTCACTTTCACTGGGCTGGGGCAGGGGGTTGGGGTGGGGGAGGTGAGGGCTCTAACTGGGAGTGCAGGCTCTGGGGTGGAGCCAGGGATGAGGGGTCTGGGGTGCTGGAGGGGGCTCCAGGCTGGGGCAGTGGGTTGGGGTGTAGGAGTGGGTGAGGGCTTTGGCTGGGAGTGCGGGCTCTGGGGTGGGGCCAGGGATGAGGGGTTTGGGGTGCAAGAGGGAGCTCCAGGCTAGGAGTGAGGCAGAGGGGTTCAGGATGTGGAGTAGCTCTGGGCTGGGGCAGTGGGTTGGGGCAAGAGCTCCATCTGGGTTTGCAAGCTCTGGGGTGGGGCCAGGGATGAGGAGTTTGAGTGCCAGAAAGGGCTACGGGTTTGGGGGGGCCTCAGGGCTGGGGCAGCGGATTGGGGCACGGGATTACCTCTGGTGGCTCCTGGTCAGTGGCACAGGGACGGGGGGGGGGGGCACTAAGGCAGGCTTCGTACCTGTCCTGACTCCGCGCTGCACCCTGGAAGCGACCAGAAGGTCCAGCTCCTAGGCAGAGGTGTGACAGGTGGCTCTGAGCGCTGCTCTCACCCGCAGGCACCGTCCCTGCAGCTCCCATTGGCCACAGTTTCCGGCCAATGGGAATGTGAAGCCAGTGCTCAGGGTGGGGGCAGCGACTAGGAGCCAGAGCTGCTGGCCACTTCCGAAGTGCATCGTGGTGCCAGGACAAGTAGGGACTAGCCTGCCTTAGCTCCGCAGCACCACCAACCGGACTTTTAACGGCCTGGTCAGCAGTGCTGACTGGAGCCGCCCGGCTCCCTTTTCGACCGGGTGTTGCGGTCAAAAACCAGACACGTGGTTACCCTAGGTCTGGAGCAGAAACTGTCATTTTTATTTCTTTGTACAGCACTTAGCACAGTTGGGCCTTGATATTTGATTGGGCTCTTGAGAGGCACTACCATTATACAAATAAAAATTAATAATAAAGGCTGTTTTCCTGGTACCAGATCTTTCACACCTGATTGAGATGAATGGATTGCGAAGGGATGAGTTCTCTGCTCTTCAGTTAAATATTAGTGGCAGAAGAGGTTTTTGCTGCTTCACAGCTTTCAAAATGGAAAAAGATGCAGGAGAAACATTTTTCTTTATCCCTCTCTACCAAAGTATGGTTATGATTCCCGCCACCTCTTTTTATAGAGCAAAAAGTGGGGGAGGGTGTTGTTCATTTGTTTCCCGTTTTACCAAAACTCAAAAATAACTAAGGACAGTTTTCTTTCTGAATAAAGAAAAGGAGTACTTGTGGCACCTTAGAGACTAACCAATTTATTTGAGCATAAGCTTTCGTGAGCTACAGCTCACTTCATCGGATGCATAAAGTGGAAAGTACAGTGAGCAGATTTTATATATACACACAGACCATGAAAAAATATACATTGTAAGGAGAGTGATCACTTAAGATGAGCTATTACCAGCAGGAGAGTGGGGTGGGGGGAGAGAAAACCTTTTGAAGTGATAATCAAGGTGGGCCATTTCCAGCACATTTCCAGAAGTTAACAAGAACGTCTGAGGAACAGTGGGGGGGGGGGCCGCGGGAGGAAGAATAAACAAGGGGAAATAGTTTCACTTAGTATAATGACTCAACCACTCACCGTCTCTATTCAATCCTAAATTAATTGTATCCAATTTGCAAATTAATTCCAATTCAGCAGGATTGTCTGGCTATGTAGACTCCCTCCTCAGGCCCTACGCTACCAGCACTCCCAGCTATCTTCGAGACACCACTGACTTCCTGAGGAAACTACAATCCATCGGTGATCTTCCTGAAAGCACCATCGTGGCTACTATGGATGTAGAAGCCCTCTACACCGATATTCCACACAAAGATGGACTACAAGCCATCAGGAACACTATCCCTGATAATGTCACGGCAAACCTGGTGGCTGAACTTTGTGACTTTGTCCTCACCCATAACTATTTCACATTTGGGGACAATGTATACCTTCAAATCAGTGGTACTGCTATGGGTACCCGCATAGCCCCACAGTATGCCAACATTTTTATGGCTGACTTAGAACAACGCTTCCTCAGCTCTCGTCCCCTAACGCCCCTACTCTACTTGCGCTATATTGATGACATCTTCATCATCTGGACCCATGGAAAAGAAGTCCTTGAGGAATTCCACCATGATTTCAACAATTTCCATCCCACCATCAACCTCAGCCTGGACTAGTCCACACAAGGGATCCACTTCCTGGACACTACAGCGCTAATAAGCGATGGTCACATAAACACCACCCTATACCGGAAACCTACTGACCACTATTCCTACCTACATGCCTCCAGCTTTCACCCAGACCACACCACACGATCCATTGTCTACAGCCAAGCTCTACGATACAACCGCATTTGCTCCAACCCCTCAGACAGAGACAAACACCTACAAGATCTCTATCAAGCATTCTTACAACTACAGTACCCACCTGCTGAAGTGAAGAAACAGATTGACAGAGCCAGAAGAGTACCCAGAAGTCCCCTACTACAGGACAGGCCCAACAAAGAAAATAACAGAACGCCACTAGCCGTCACCTTCAGCCCCCAACTAAAATCTCTCCAATGCATTATCAAGGATCTACAACCTATCCTGAAGGACGACCCATCACTCTCACAAATCTTGGGAGACAGGCCAGTCCTTGCCTACAGACAGCTCCCCAACCTGAAGCAAATACTCACCAGCAACCACACACCACACAGCAGAACCACTAACCCAGGAACCTATCCTTGCAACAAAGCCCGTTGCCAACTGTGCCCACATATCTATTCAGGGGACACCATCATAGGGCCTAATCACATCAGCCACACTATCAGAGGCTCGTTCACCTGCCCATCTACCAATGTGATATATGCCATCATGTGCCAGCAATGCCCCTCTGCCATGTACATTGGTCAAACTGGACAGTCTCTACGTAAAAGAATAAATGGACACAAATCAGATGGCAAGAATTATAACATTCATAAACCAGTCGGAGAACACTTCAATCTCTCTGGTCACTCGATTTCTGTTCTCAAAGTGAGTATCCTTCAACAAAAAAACTTTGAAAACAGACTCCAAGGAGAGACTGCTGAATTGGAATTAATTTGCAAATTGGATACAATTAACTTAGGCTTGAATAGAGACCGGGAGTGGTTGAGTCATTATACTAAGTGAAACTATTTCCCCTTGTTTATTCCTCCTCTCTCCCCCCTCCCGCCCCCCCGCACTGTTCCTCAGACATTCTTGTTAACTCCTGGAAATGTGCTGGAAATGGCCCACCTTGATTATCACTTCAAAAGGTTTTCTCTCCCCCCACCTCACTCTCCTGCTGGTAATAGCTCATCTTAAGTGATCACTCTCCTTACAATGTATATTTTTTCATGGTCTGTGTGTATATATAAAATCTGCTCACTGTACTTTCCACTTTATGCATCCGATGAAGTGAGCTGTAGCTCACGAAAGTTTATGCTCAAATAAATTGGTTAGTCTCTAAGGTGCCACAAGTACTCCTTTTCTTTTTGCCAATACAGACTAACACAGCTGCTACTCTGAAACCGTTCTTTCTGAAGGTGATTTTTCTTTTAAGACAACATGGAAAATATAAAGACTAAGGGGTGAACATTTCAGAAAGTCATTAGAATGTGAAAATAGGAGACTGTCGAGAAAAGTGTTGTGCTACTTTAACAATAGATGTCGGTCACCTCCTTGGCCGAATTGTAATTCATCTGAATCCTTCTGTTTTACATTTTGTCTCAGGTGTGCAAGATAGAAATGGAAAATCTTTGTCAGATCTGAAGCATCAATGTAATTAAATGCATATTTCCAGATCTTTCTTGCTTTCTATCCTTCCTTCCTTTTGAATTATACACATTTTATATAGTAATGAAATGTTAAAATGCCTTGTAATTCTTAATCCAGGTAACCTTGACAAACACGTAGAACTAGAGAACCTGGTGGCCCGGTTTCTTGATGTGGAAGCGGCTATGGTGTTTGGCATGGGCTTTGCTACTAACTCTATGAATATTCCGTTGCTGGTTGGGAAGGTGAGTATGAGTATTGCCTGCTAATTGTTTTGCCTACAGTTACACTACTTCAAACACGCAATAAATGGTGAGGCTTGGTCTGAACACAAGACTAGATACCAGGAACTTCTGAGTTCTGACACTGATGCTCTTCTTCACCTCGGGTTCACCATTTCGTCACGCTTTCTGTCAGTCACCCCTGGGGGTTGCTAAGGCACTTACCACTCTTGTATTTAAGTACCAATGTAAGTACTTAGCCTCTTTCCCTCCATTTACCCTTCTCTAAAATGTGAATAGTTTTTGCCTCCCATCTCGGAGAGCTGTTGTAAGAATTAAATAGTGGAACGGATTCTCCTCCTGCTTACCTAGGTGTAAAGCAATTGATGTTGGTGGAGCCACACCAGCATAAAACTGAAATGAGAAGAGAATTGGGCTAGGTTTTGGGAAATGAGAAATGCTTTGTAGGGGGCTCAATATTGATATTACATAAATCTCAGACCAACATTGCAAGAAAGCTGTCAATAAACACAAGCACAAAGTTTAGACTATCCTACAGAAGGTTGGTCCAATAATGACTTGATGAACCACAGTATGTTTGGACTGTTAGGGAAATTTGTAACTTCACTTGAGTTAGACATGATTGTGAAACAACAGATTGCATCCTTCTTGGAGCTGATTGTTGATATCCCAGAGTGTAGTGTATGTTTGAACATTAATGCTAAGGGTCTTGTGAACCATGAGGTTGAAAGCAAAGTGCCTGGAGCACCTGAGAAGGGAGAGAACTATTTTCTAGGGCAAAATAACCGTCATATTTGTGAAAAATATATTTTATTGAAATTGATATCATTTAAAAAAAACTTTCTCCAATAGTCTAATGGAGGGAAATTTGGGGTACAATGCAGGGACACAATAATGGGAAAATGATGTTCCTCATTTGTGGAATCTGAGCTTCATGTTACAGTCTTGGGATACTCAGAGGTACTGTCTGGGAAGGAAGGAGCAGAATCTCTAGTAGTATTCTTCAAGTATGTGTCAGTGTGGATCCCACTGTAGGTGCGCATGCATCCCATGAGCTTGGAATCCTTTGCCAGACCACATGTTACGGATGTACCTGGCATAGATTGGAAAGAAATGAGACCCACCGTCAACTCAGTATTTCTCCAGAGTGGCACTCTGTTAAGAGATTTGTTCGCCACCCAAGATGTTGCAAAGTGCCTGAACTTCTATTCCAGGGGAGACATGAATCCAGGATTTTCACCAGATGTCTCCCTTCTACAATGAACCCATGGTCGCTTTTACACCTTCTCAACAATCCCAGAGTGATCGTCAAAGTAAGATGGGATCAGATGAGTCTCATCATTTTAGCCCCTACTGGCCAATGCAGTTCTGACTGCTACATAGAGAAACCCATTCACTTGGCTGCCAGATCAGATGTTGCTGGACTTGGCTACCAGATCAGATATGAAATTTGGGAAAGCTGTGCTCCGATCTCTATTCAAATGTTGTAGCTAATGCTTCTCATGCCATCCTTCTGGTAGAAGAAATTGCTTGCCTTCTCCTACAGTGGGATCCACAAATACTCGAAGAAAGAATAGTTACTTACCCTATGTTAAATGTGTTTTTTCGAGATGTTGTAGTCAGTGTGGATCTCATGACCCGCCCTCCACCCCTTTCGGAGTCCTCAGCTGACATGGGCTTTGAGTTGAGAGGGAACTGAGGGCCAATGTCTGCGCCATTCCACCCTTTATGCTTTTGCACAGAACTATGAGGGGGCTCAACGTGTGGCCCTGCTGGTCCCTGCCAAGCAAAAGATTCAGAGCTCATGTGCATGGGGAGTGAGATCCACACTGATTACAACATCTTGAAGAACCACAATTACAGCAGGGTAAGTGAGTGTTCTTGATGTTGAATTATTGCCCTCTATTATGGAGACTTCTCATTTAATTTACCTCCATAATTTAATGTAGTAGCTTCATCCTGACCTCCAGATACATACGCACAATTCCTATTATTTCAGAGTGAGTTCCACGTGCATAGCTCAAGGTAGATTTTAGCCTATCCACGTGTGAAATATTTCTCCGCCTCTACTTAGTTAGCCTGTATTTGCAAAATGATGCATTGCATTGTGGTCATGTAACAAAAGACCACAGCATAATGCTTAGGATTAAACCCGGGGCAAGATAAGGTTCCAGTTTGAATCTGGCTTTTGCTAATATAATTAATATGCAATATTAATTTTTCATGCATTTCATTGAGGATTTTTAAAAGGTAAATGAGTTCTTAACTGATGGAATTAGTGACTGTAAAAGTTACTAAAGATAAAGTGTGTGTGAGTGAAAGAGACAGACAGACAGATCTCCCCCGTGCCCAAGCACCACTGAGATACAGTACAGGTATGATGCAACTAGCCAGTTTCAGCTCGTGATTCTGTAAGACCAGTATGCTGGCTCCAGCTCCAAAATGTTACACTTACTTACCTCACTGACATATGGTCCTTATGGGATCTTACAGCAGAGGAGGATCAATGGAGCTGCACTCTGCCCACAACTCACTGAGGAAAGGAAGCAGTAGTCGCAGGAGCCAGGTTCACTGGGTTTAAAACAGCAAGGAGCTCCCCTCCACCAGCGTAATTCACCGCTGGCTACGTATGGACAGTATCTGGCCTCCTTTCACCACCTTGGAATATTCAGGAATCTGTCCCCAAGATTTATATATGTCCCTGAAACAGAATATTGGGTCCAAATACCCCAAGACTTAAGAAATTTTCCAATTCACATTTAAGCATTGCAGTTTGGTCGGTAATATGTGATCTATTCACTCGCATTAACTTGTGAATATTCTAAAGGTTTATGTGTATACTTATTGTGAGCCTTCTCCACAGGGTTGCCTCATTTTAAGTGATGAGTTGAACCACACTTCTCTTGTTCTTGGTGCAAGACTTTCCGGTGCTACCATTAAAATCTTCAAACACAACAGTGAGTATTGATGCTGGAGATGTTTGGTGGCAGAGATGTTCCAACCAGACGAAACTGCTTATACAAATTTTGCCATCACTTATTTGAGAATATTTGATAACGGGTGGGGCATTAGCCTCTCAAAGCTATATATGATTTCTAATTTTGGAGGGATAAAAATGAAATGCATACAATGACAGTTTGCAGCTGATAAAAGACCATGACCGTGACCAGTGCCATGTTGGAGCTTAAATTTTCAAAAATATTTCTCACCATAACCACCCTTCTGGTTTGGCATGTTGCTGTTATTCCGTACAGTTCTGGAAACATTTATTTACAATTGCAACAGAAAATCAGTACAAAAGTCTACGGTGTTTCAGAAGTGCTCAGCGCTGGCCTAACTCTGTTACCACTGAAGTCAGTGGGAGCAGACTTAAGCTAATGCAGAGCACTTTTGAAAATCCCACCCTAAATTTCTGGCAGGTTTTTTCAAGGATCCAGAAAGCTGGGATATAAGCATCTGCCCACATACTGACTTCACCAAAATAGGATTTTAGGACAAGACTGATACTAATGCTACATTATAACTCAGTTGTTACACAGAGGTCTGTATCAGTACCACCTACTGGTCTGGCTTCAGGCTAGTCACTCCCCAGTAACTTCAACATAGGCTTTCATGTGTCAAGTAACACTCCTTCTTGTGTCTTAGCTTTATTAACAAAGGAGACATAAGAACTCCCATCCAACATCCTAGCTGGCTCATAGTCCTTGGTGTAGGGTTCTTAGGCCTGTCCCTGCTGAGATTTTGCTCTAGCAGACTTGCCCACCACACTCCAGCTTCCCTAGCTAGCTTCTGCTCCCTGTAGGCATGCATCCCCAGGCCTTCTGCATAGGAGCTAGGAGAGTCTTTCTGTGTGGAGCAATTCATGTGGTCCTTCTGCTCATTTCAACCTCTCCCTGCTTTCTGCTGAGCATCAACTCCCAGGGCTTTCTGCCTGGGTCTTTCCTTCTCTCTCTTTGGCTGTCCATAGGCTTCTGTTGTATTTCTCCCCTCAGAAGGCCCGATTTAGCTATATGACTTGCCTGTCAGGTGACTTTGCTCATTTTCTCCACCTGGGCAGGTGAGTCAAGTGTATCACAGACGGGGCTGGACCCATCTCCCTTTAAAGGGCCAGTCATCCTGTTACATGGTCTTTTAAAACATTGACAACACTGCCTTTTACTTAATTAATGCTGCTGTGGCATTTGCGGTACTTGCTATACTTGCAAACTGCTGTTGTAAAAATTATAACACAGTTACTGCACATTGTCTACCTAAATACCCCCTTCACTTTCAGTTGCTATTCTCCACTGTTCTGAGTCATGCCATGTACAGGTACTGTGTAATCAGTTACTACTTTGCCCCATCCCAGAGGTGAGTGAAGTCATTTAATTATGTATATGTTTTATAAAAACATACCATGAAAGGTGCACTATAATTATAAGCATCATTATTCGCGTAATTTTAATTGGCCAAGAAGCAATTCCATAACCTGATTAATAAGCCTGATTATTAGCCTGATGAATAAGCCTGATTCAAAACATTTTTACAAAAGTAACTATTTATAAATTTACCATCTGATGTGCTTACTAACACTCAGTGATCCAACCTTAGAGATTTAGACATAGGAGGCCGTATTTTTATACTTCTGTCTCTCTTGATCTCTGACCTCTTCCTTAGATTTGCACTGTGCTCTACTCAGTAACTTATCCCAGTCATACTTTTCCTGCTGCATGACATTTTGAAGGATGACCTCTAACCACCAAAACCCACTGGCTCTCAACTCCCCACCCCCACCCCCAACACCATCTCCACATTCAGCCCCTGATTATTTTGTGCTATTTCCCATAGCACTTGAAAGAAGAGATCCATTCAGGGAATATGATTCAGATCACAGTTCCTAAAAGAATGTTGAAGATACCACTTTGATTTTTGACCCATATGTTGATAAATTAATACCCCCTCCTCACCCGATCACTTGTCAAGGAGCCGTCATACACTTTCTCCTCCCTTCCCCCAGTGAGCTAACATCTAATCAGCCTGCTGTTGGGGGTTTATGATACATCAGAGCTGATATTCTCTGTAAAGAATGTGGAGCAAAACTAACAGCAATAGCTAACTAGTTCCACAAACACCAAACTGCAGATGGAAAATTAGGTAATTCCCTTAAGCACCTCAGCAAACACCACTGAAAGCTCATCAGGTTCTTTCTATGTAACCCATTGTTCCCTAGATTACGGATCTGATTTGCCAAAGCCAGTCTAGTTTTCTTTAAAAGCTGGCTAGTTTAACCATTTTGAGCCTTATCGCCTTAACCAGAATTACAGTAAGACAATGCTTATCATTATGAAACGGTGGGAACCTTTTGAAGCATTATATATAGTTTCTCAGTTAACCCCATTCTGCCTGGACCTTAACCTGAATTGTACCTAGAGGACCCTTTTCATTGTGAAGCAGTGGGAACATTTTGTAAAACTCTGTGTACTTTAAGTTTCTGATCTTCAACCCCCAACCCACCCCCGCATAGGAAGCCATATAGATTAAATACCCTTGCTATAAAGCTGCTATTTTGGAGTGTTCTTGTGAACAGATTTTCATAAATCAAATCCAGAACCTACCTGCCAACTGACTTTCGCCATCCAATAACTATTCATAGTAGTTTTACACATATGGAATACTTCTTCATCCAAGCGGCTTCCACAGCGGTACATTTGGCACATTACTGAAATGCAGCATGGCTGGACAGTGTGGCAGCCAATTGGCACACGTCCAGCCGGACAGACAGAATCCCCTTTGTGAAGGCCCCGTCTACACTGTAAACCCATTTGGGATGCAGTTGTCTTGTAGCAAGTTGTGGTTTGCTTTGTAAATGGGACTTAAGTGAATTTTAAAAATAGCGTGTCCAGGGCTTTGACATCATTTTAAAAATATGTTTAGGTGCTATCTACTTTGCAAAATGGACTGTGTCAGAGGACAGTAGCATTGTAGCTGGCTACTCCAACATCCTTACATTTGTTATGTGTATACAGGGAATGCCTTGCCCAAGAGATCCACACTATACTAGGAATTTACAATGGTTTAGCTATGTCTCTCAGGGGTATAAAAAATCGACACCCTTGAGAGATGTAGATATACTGACCTAACCCCCAGTGTAGACAGTAGTAGGTCGACAGAAGAATCCTTCAGTCAACCTAACTACCAGTTCTTGGGAAGTGGATTACCTACACTGATTGGAGAAGCCCTTCCTTTGGTGTAGGTAGTGTTTACACTGAGCCACAACTGCAGCACAGTTGTGGCACTGTAATATTTTAAGTATGGACAAGCCTTTAGTAATCTAAATTGTTCTTCATTTAACTGCCTCAGAAACTTAGTCTTTTTCACGTATTTAAACCTATTGTTCCAGTTTGTCTAGACATACCAGCCTTCCACTTCAAAACTGCAAAGCTCTTAAGCATGTGCATAGCTTGAAGTATATGAATAGTCCGATTGACTGTAATGAAACTACTCATTTGTTTACAGTTACGCACATGCTTAAGTGCTTTGCTGGGTCAGGGCCTTGATGTTTGAACTGCTAAGCTCATGGCCACACGTAAGCCAAATGTTAGACTTGTGCTTTCATTCTCACATTTAGTGGAAATAGGTCAACTGATCTACCCGTTGTCCGAGTCACATTGCTGGTTATATGGGGAAGCTTCCCTGTGTTGTATTGTATAAACAGGAAACTGCATCTGGTACAGTCTGTGCAGAGGATTTCATGAGCATTAATTTGACTCTAAAATTGTAAAGTGATTTTGTCTTTTTTTTTTTTAAATCACTTTCCCACAACCTCAGCAGGAGGTAGGCGATACTCATTCCCTGCAGGGAATGGGAACTGGTTTGTGTCATGGCTGATGAGGGGAGCAAACAGCCCTCTGAAAGGGGTCTGGTACTTGCCCTCAGTTGGAGGATGTCACCGTGTCAAGGACCTTCTGCTGGTCCCCATCCATGGTAAGGAGGGGGCAAAGAGCAGAATTGAATCCAGATAAGAAGTTGTGAGAGCTCTAAAGATAAGGTCAGCCGGGAAGGCAAACAGCAATGGGTCGTAACACGGCACAATAAAAAAGTCACTTATTAAACATGAGAATGGAGTCAAATTCTCTGCTGATGTAAACTGGCACCGTTCCCTGGAGCTGCGCCAGTTTCACCAGCATAGTGTTTAACCTGGTATTACAGCATTGTAAACATAGTATGAAAAGTCAAAGACCTTTGTGCCACATAATACTCAACTAGTGACGAAAACATTCCTTCTGTATTGTTTGTTGCCAGAACAAAACCAGATTGGTTGGCAGCCTTGTGAATGACATTTTCAAAGCGTGCCTAAATGGGAATGAGGAAGGTGTTGTTAATTGTTGGAGAAAGTGACTGCTCCCCACTGTCTAGTTCATTCTCCTTTTACGTGGAGTGTAACAGCCTTGATTAAACTGTTTAGATCTCATTTACTTTTACTCTGACTTCTCTGATTGTACGTGTATACGAGATACATTGGAGAGAAGGGCAAGGGGCGAATAGCGTGTTGCTGTTATGTTTTTGTTGGCTGCTGGAAATGGTTATCAGAATGAAGGGGCATACTTACACTACACTTTCATGAATCAACAGAAAGTTTTCTGGGCCACATACTTCCTGAATTACTATAGGGAAAACATGTGCAAGGTGTATTCAGTAACCACCCTATCCATCAAGATTAGCATTGTACAAATAGTGCAGCAAGCTAGGACATTGATCCCCCTCCTCCCCCAAATAAAATAGTAGGAGGCATCCAAAAGATCCTGTCTATTGACAAAGCCATGTTTTCTCTCTAATTCCACAATTAAAGAAGTATAAAATGCTTTCAAAACTCAGATGGAGTAATTCTGACAAAGTGAAATCTAAATGTCACAACAAGAGAGAGAGGGTGAGAGAGACTCCAAATCTGGCTGGATTTAAATGCATCACAAGACATGTG